GCCACGCTACGGAGAGTTTAGGCGAGTAAGTTGTTTACTATCGTCTGTACAGTATGTAAATTAGGTACCGTAAGTCTAATACAGCACTAATACAGTCTAATTTTATACATTTCTTGTGAAAGAAACATTTCTTATTCAACAGCCATAAAAATTATTTACATTAATGATGTCTCCAAAGTTCAACAAAGTTTTCGCAGAAAAATAACTTATCAGAAATTGCCCGCCATTTGGTGCGCTGCTCTGCAACAAAAACAAGCTTGAGCAATGGCGACGTCAAACGGTGCACACTCGGTAAGTAATCCTACAATTTTTTGTTTATAGCATAGTTTATACAGATTATTCCCAAAAAAATTATACATATTTTGAAAATGTTGAGTTGAATTAGTCTAGAATCGATTAATTTTATGGAAGAAAACCTTTCAAACAGCTGTAGTCCATAAACTTCACACGTGTCAGGCTGTGATTGGCAAGGACTCGTACAAAATTGATTCATAAAGAACGAAACGTATCTACCATGTTATAGGGGGGTCAACTGTATATAAAAAATTTTATTCATTTAATCCAAAAGTTACAAATTATAGCCTTCTACATTGAAAATGTAACATTATTAATGCAATCTTAAAGTTTTAATTTATATATAGTCTTTTTATAATGATTTTGGGCATTATTATGAATTATTATTAGATCTAATATATATACACAGAGTGTTCTGAGAAGTATTGGCAATATTTTTACAGCATGTTCTTGAAACCTACAGGAATCCAAAAATATCTGATAAATATATTCCTTCAAATATATTGTTTTAGCATTGTAAGGACTAATTACTCATTAAGATGTTGCTCTACAGCACTGCTAAGCAATGCAGAAAAGTTGCAATCTTGCTGGCCATTGGCTTCTTACCTTTAGAACCTTAGTTTTTGCAAAAATGTAAGGTTTACCTGCATTTCCTAGCACATCTAGTGCTGAAACAATGTGTTTTTAAGGACATTTTCATATTTCTAGATAGAACACACTGTAAAAATAGTGCCTTGCAGTCTGTATATATATATATATACGTGATACATGTATGTGATACATTATTTTGATAATCATACAAATTACAATAAAAATAAAATATAAATGCGCGCAACTATTGTGACAATAATTTGTGCAACTGCACGTGCCAGAGGTCGCTGGCAACTAGCCTGTTGAAGGAACAAAGAGGCAGGTAACTAAGCAGAACTATGCAAGTCCTGACTTGTTTATTTTATCTTTTCACTAAAATAGTACAGGGATTTGATCAAATTACTTATTTTTTTAGAGAAACGATTCTATAGAATTGTCATTTTAACATGTTCAGTGAATTGATCATCTCCCTTAGGGATTTGACCAAATCCCCATTTTTATCATATCCCTGTGATATATATTTTTTATTCAATTAAAATATATTTATTATTGAATTAAATACCTGTTTTACAAGACTCCAAATAAGACTTTTATTTTCATCTGCTACTTCTTCTGTTTGTCCAGCATCACCAGCCTGATATTGAAAATTAAGCATTAAAATAAACAAAAGTAAAGCTGCCATTTTAAATGAAAATGATATCAAGGAAGTATATGTATATCAACATCCCGAAGCCTGATGTATTTCTTACAGAATGTTATAATTTATTAAATAATTTAGAATTATTAATTTAGATAAGAGATGGCACTTAACATCTACCTCTAGTACCAAATTACTTAGTTTCTAATTATTAATTATAGCATTATATAGCCCAATTAATTACAGAAGTGTTTGGATTGATATATGAAAATCATATTTAAAAATAATAATTAAGCTTAAATGCATAAAACAATTTTGTAAAATTTAATACAGGAATTAAAAATTTTCTATCTGATCTTCCTAACTACAGTATTTTGCTGATTAAAATAATTCTGATTTTCATTACTGATTAAAATATATTGAAAGCAAAGGAATTGTTATAAATATTGTTTGTTATTAACCTTGACAGTGAGCTACCGATAGGTACATTCCTGCCCTGCAAATACATGACATTCTCAAATTCAAAAGAAGAGTGCACATAAGGTGCATCAGTTCCAATGTTTGGAGCAGCAGAAAGATGTTTCAAGAAGTCTTTTATGTTGTATATAAAGAAATCCCTTAGAATGGAACACATCAAAATAGAACGTGAATACCTAGTTCTATTTTGATGTGTTCCACTGATTATTCAGTATATTTCACCTGAGGAAGAACTATTTAATGGTTCAAAAACATTAGTGATAAACTGTATTATTCACAAAACACACCGGTAACAGATTCTGGATAGTGTGTTGATAAATATCATCTAAAATTCTAATTCATCTATCCTAAAAAAGAAACTTAGTGGCATAAAGTTGTACACCAAGTCAACCAAGGAGAGATGAAGCACCCAAAATGAAAAATGACAGACAAATGTAAGCAAGCTATAGAATTAAGTAAATGGATGTATGGTATATCTAGTGTTTCAGAATCTTACATCATCATGAGTTGGAAAAGAAACATCTATATATCCATTTATATAAACCATATGCTGTTCAAATTTTCCAATCACATTTTCTGCATCTTGATTACTATATCTTCTACAGTTCCCAACAAAGATGAACAATCCTACTTTGTCAATAATAAATTTCTCCAAATGCAAAATAATTTTTTCAACACAGTATCTAGTATTTTACTAACAATTTTTTCTCCCTTTAGCAACATTGGGAAATGATCCTTCAAGGCTTCAGTTTCACCAACACCTAATTTTGCCAAGCTTAAACTTATTTTACTTTTTTACAAACATTTTTAACCTATTTACTATAGGCCATCATCAATAATCCTTCAAGGCTTTCGTTGTTACATTCTAAGCTTTTTCTACCACAATTAATGGCTATAAACCTTGTAATCCAGAACAAACACACACACTTAATTTCTGTCATCAGAATGTCCTTTAAGTCTCAGACTATCTGTTCACAACTTCTCCCCAAAATCTTCCTATAAACTATTCTTTCCAATGTATTCCCATAAACATTTTTCTAAACAACTTGAGTTCCCAACTCCTTTCCAAAACAGCTTTTAATTTTCAAATTACTTCTTTGTAAAATACTTAATATTTGAGAAAATTCAGTGTTCAGAAAAGTAACTGAAGTGAACAGATTTAAAAATTTTGTGAGTGCCCGGATCCGATAAACACTTATCAATTGTTTTTTTTTTTTTTTAACTTTCTTGTTCACTTTTAAATAAAACAATGAACAATCAAACAATCGAAACAATGAGTAATTATATTAAAAAATTAACTTTTAAACTCTTATTTTTCACTTGATAAAAATCTAAAGAGATACAATCATAACTTCACCGGATTCACTTCCTTTTGTAGGTGACACAGCTTCCTAGTGTGTCACCTGGAATCTACGAAAGAGAAAAAATAATCAACCATTGGACAGTGATGAAAAAAGTCCTAATAAGGTTATCGAAAACCCAAGAGCAACCCCCTAATAAAAAGGGAGGGGTCGATGAGTGTTCAGTGAACTGTGTGAGTCTGTTGGTAGCCACTAGTCAATTGCCGCCACACAAACTGTTCCAATCGCCGCCACTCCAGAAGATTTCAGTGCCACACCGAAACCATCATCGCCACTCCAAGGAACTTTGTGCCAATTCAAGATTTCCTACGTGTAAAACCTTCCAACCATTCTAGTATTTCTACAAAGTAGAAATTCTAGAATGGTTGGTCTAGAAATTATCCTCACGCGAACTTAATGTAAACTCTCTCTCTTGTTAACTTTTGTTGTTTGGGTCATAGTAGTTACATAATATGTCAGTTCAGATTAGCTTTGGCTAAGCATCTACTAAATTAAATATGTAAATAGTCTGTATCGAACAATAAACAGGTATTTTTATTTATATGAAAAGTTGTGGAGTGTATTTCCTCTGGTTCTCTCCTTCTGCCTCCATCCCAGAACCTAAGGTCCGCACACGCAACCGTTCACGTAATGAAATTAAATGGACAATCCAGTTTCTGTGTCTGTCCTGAAGACACAGTGGTGTCATCTTGACAAGGCACTAAAGAGGTAAAGACCCTACAGTCACAATTTGATATAAGATTCACTTATATGGTAGCAATTGTTTTTCTTGATATTAATTTAAATTATGAAGGTTAAATTAACATAAATATGAGTACATTCCTTTAACCAATAAAATGTAACAATAAAGCATTTGTTTCTTAACTTTATAAAATGATTTTTTAATGAGATTTTCATAAGCATTATTTATTAGTTGCTTCATTTAACAAAACAACTAATAAATACTTAAAAAGTTAATAGCATATATAATTTGTATTACAAAATTTAGCAGTAATTAGTGCATTATAAATTATGTTATATATAGTAGATACATACCAGACCAAATTCCTCTTCTCCATTTTCAACATACGGTGTTTCAACAGGCTCAATTTCTTCTTCATCTTCTTGACGAGGATCAGAATCATCAGGATGAGGATCAGAGTCTGAATCTGTTGAATGGTAACTGTGTCTTCCCTCCGGATCAATTTCTCTGTTATCATCGGTGTGAATGTCTTCTTCAAAATCTGAATGAAAGGAGGATGAGGAGGCAGGACTTAGGACAGGAGATAGGGAAGCAGAAGCACTACTTAAAACTTTAAAAACTAGTTCAGCTTGAGAAGCATTATTATGCTTTTCAGATTCAGTAAGTTCTGGATTACTAAGTGTTTTTTTATTATTTGTTTTATGTAAATAATGTCGTGCCGGACAAGGACTCGAAGTTTTGGAACTTTCGTAGGTATTTTTTAGGGAATCGAGACTTAATCTCCGATTCTCTTCTGGTGTGGAAATAATTACGGCAGGACAGTGTTTTGAGGACAAACATGAATTTGTGGTTTCAACTGATTTAGGTGGATGAGGACAAGAATATCTTCTATAGATATGCAACTGACAAAAAGGATTAGGACACTGACAAGAACATGCAGAACTTGAGTTGAGACATCCTTCATAAAATAAATAAGAAAAGCTAAATATGTTACTTTTAGTAATGAAATGAAGAAAGATTATCTGTACCTAATATGCATTAAGAAATTAGTAAGGAATGAAATGTTAATAGGTAAACAAAATAGAAAAGTGATAAAGAAGATTATAAATCTTATAAGAATAAATACAGTATAATTTAATCATGCAAATGAAATGAAAAATAGATTTAGGAAAGTTAATTTTTTAAAGAAATTCGTGGATTTATAAAATATCTTTCAATGAACTTTTTTTATAACAACATAAATCTATTTGATGGTTAATGATAATCTTGTTTGAATATAAAATGATTTTAATTATTAATTCTTTAATACATCCAGTCTGCTGTTAAATATTTTTTGATCATAATGAGTAACTTTAAAAACTTGATAATAGGTCAAGTTAATTATTTTAATAAATATAATATATACCTTAATCAAATTGATATATTTATAATGAATGTTAATTACATAAGAATACTTCAGTTATAATAATTCAGTGTTTCTGGAGGGATATGGAACAGTCCAAATGCAATCAAATTTTATATGCTGATGTTTCAGAACATGCAGAAGAGATTTCCATAAGGAAAAAGTTTAGTTCCAACCAAAATTCACACTATGGGACTTGTGATGCACAAATGATATCAAAAGGACATTGGCACACTTTCTTAAAGCCATTGGAACTCTTGAAGCATGCTCACAAAATTGCCATTGTTTATAAAAACAATTTTTATGTACAATTACCTTATTTACTCACATATAAAAGACAAGGTTTTTATTCATTTTTCACTGCTTCAAGTACTATATGTGTGAGCGAAGGATTCTTTGTGTTTTGGCAAAAAATTTTTCTGAACTGTGTATTTGCATTTTTTACCAGATGCTCACCTTCTTGTGTTTAAAGACAAAGTATTTTATCTGGGTCATTTAAATCATTCTTGTGTATTGTCAGGAGTAAAGATTAATAGCAATAGGAAAAGCAAAGCTTTTGAATTGAATTCCAAATTGAAATTCTAAAATCACATGGGAGCGAGCCCGATATAATTTTTAATCCATTCCCATATGAAAACAGATAATTTTTCAGAAATAAAAAATCAGAGAAACTCGTAAATGTAATTGATGGAGAGTAGATTTGACTGTTAAGAATTGGCAAAAAAGGTTCCCAATTGTCCAGCATATCTAAAGTCACATCTCGTCTTAAATGTGAGTTAAATACGGTAAATCACAAATAGGAATACAAACTAATAAAAGATACAAATGTTTGATGGTCATTATTATTATTTTTATTTCTCAGATTATCAACTGTATACCTACTTTTGCACCCTTTCCCCTGTATTGGTAAATTCCTGAATTTGAATAGATTTTTAGGGTAAAAAATTTGTGCGCCCTGAAATAGCATGAAAAAGTTTGGTTGGACTGCAACATATTCCTCCATATAAAGAAAATATCTCTATTTAATGCTATGATCAACCTGTACATCAAAAAGGAAATTACAGTGTGTATCAACCAAATTTTTGTATAGCCAATGTATGTATGTATGTATGTATGTATGTATATATACATACATACATGTATGTATGTATATGTATGTNATCAGTGCTTGTTGCTGTATCCTGACAGGTTACATGATCTTCATTAATAATGTTAAATGTTTCTGTCTGTTGATGTATTTGATCAGCAACCTGTTGTTTGATAAGTTCAAATGTTGTTTGTGGGATAAGGTTGTTGTTGTGTATAATTGTTCTTTTTTGATCGACAACCCTTTGTTCGGTGACAGTGAGGTGAGGATATTGTTGTGTGAATCTATGGTGTAGTTGTTGTCTGTATGCTGTCATGTTTGTTTCGAGTCTTGTGATTGCGTAGTAAGTACGGATGATAAACTCGTTCATTTCTGTTGTCCATTTCATCCGTTGGCGTGGTTTTCCAGCCTTTGTGGTCTGTGGATGCATTGCCACGGAAACACCAAGGCTAGGTTGATTCCTCACATCTGTTGAGGGCATTGCAGTAGCCATGCTTGGGCCGGCGCTGCTTTTTCTCCACTGGTAACCAATGGAGACTGCGGCCTATTTTTCGAATGTGACCTCTGCCTAACTCACGAATGCGGACCTTGTTAACCCGGGCGACATCCGAACCAGTATCACACTTTGATCTGGTTACTACCATGATAAATATCTCCACAGAATGTGGGTGTGGTCACTGTTAGCTTCATTTCTGCCCATAGACCTTACTGGCATGAGTGTCCCTACCAGGAGCTTGTGCTCCAGCCTGCATTGCCCTATGGATCAGTAAAATTACTGGGCTCTCCCACCACGACCAGGTGGTGACCACAGGAGAGTTATTATTATTTCTCTTCAGCAAAATTTATGCTTATCACTTAAGGTATTATTATTAAATTAGCTATTTTTTTTTAATTATGTAAAAAAACATGTGGAATATTTATTATTGAAATCTGATAATATTGAAGAGTTTAATGAAATTTTAAAAATACTTGTAACTGGAGAAATTCAACATCAATAATTAGTATAAACTTATTTTCATCAGAGGAAAGAATGCATATGAAACTCAATGGCTAAATATTTTCACAGTTCAAAGGATATTTCAACAGTAAAAATCCTGTCAACTGTAATGCATTATTAAAGAAATAATGGAGAAATATTAATTTTACCTGTTCAGCTATATAAAATGTCCTGCTTCCCGTGTTAGGATGTTTCCAGTAACATCTAAACGTTTCTCCTAAAATAGGATTATAAGGTTTCTTTAAACCTTTGGGCTTTTTATAAAAACCCGACAAATACCATTGTACTACTGTTTTCATTCTTGTAAAGGGATCGTCTTCTAAGACTGCCCTATTAAAAAAATAACTAATTTACCTAAGAAGAGCAAATTAATTTTCAAAAAGTTTTTTATAATTTTAGAAATCACAGAAAATGTTTTGATTCCATTTATTATTTCTTTACATCTAAATTATATGTAAATCTTTTGTATAACACAGTGATGCTCAAACTTTTCAATTGGCAGGCCAGATTGCATACAAATCATACTTAGACAGGCCACAAATATTTTGCATATTCCTAGCACTTATAAGGGGCTGTTCAAACCTTACATAAAGCAAAAATTTGCCATTTTTTTTTATCTCCCCTTACCTATCAGGCCAGATGTTTAAAAAAATTTACAAATACATATATTTTTAAATAATTTTGTAATGACTGGGGAGAAAAATAAATGACATGTGCAATCTTCCATCATTAAAGACTCATCTTCCCAGTCATCAGATTACAAATGAATCCCACTCCCCATAAATTTCTGATGTAATACTTGAATGGTTCCTAAATTATGTGTCTGTTAAATCCAGCTCACAAATATATCTGAGGGGCCATAGTTTGGGCACCACTGAATAAAGAATAAAGAAAGATTGATTAATGGTGATGGCTCTTGGCATCTATGGTGGTGCTGTTGTGAGAGGACATATAGCACACAACCCTAACAGAATTGTTTTTGCTTAAGTTAAAATTAATCAAAACCAGCACCAATTAAAACAATTTTGTTAGGGTTGCATGCCACACACCTTCCCATGACTGCATTCTGTTATTAGATGCCAGAAGCCACCACTGTTGATTTTCAGTATTCAGTCATTGATTAATTTAATATTTATTGTATCAGTAATCAAATAAAAGTGAGATCTTCACCTGATAATCACTGTGTCTAAAAAATGTAAAATGTAGATTAAATTTAAAAACTTTCCTGCAATAAATATCAATGATGACTTATCTAAGTAGTCAAAATCATAATAAAAGATTTAATTTTTGTATTTATTTATATTATATTATATCATATGATTGATTAATTACAATTAACAAACAAAATGTTTGTGTGCACTTAAAAATAGAATATTTGAAACAAAATTAAGACTATGGAATTACCGAAAAAAATGTCACATTACTAAAAAAAATAAGTGATTATGAAGCATTTTCTGCAATGAACCAAAGACTATAATACATGTATTGTATTATTGTATTATAGTAATAGAATCTTTACCACTGAGGTGCAGTATCCACCATCTTTCAAATTTTTAATTTCTAAATAAGAATTAGTTTGAAAATTATATGTTCTATTATTAATATTTCTAATAATATAAAATTCACAGAACTATAATATATATTTAATTATTTACCTGGAAATAATATCAGAATGATAGTAGTAATCTGAAAGTTTATCCAAAAATGATCTTGGTTCCAAAATAAATGTTGGTAGAACAACTTTGGATAAATCCATTCCTGGCCTCACCTTACAAAAAAATTTATATAGAAAGTTTACTACTATGATAATTAAGTTTTTTTTCAGTTTTAAGAATATTTTAAGTTTATTTATATGCAGTAAATGCTTTGAGACTAGTCTATACTTGTAATAATGGCCAACGAATAACATTAAGCAGATTAAGTATATATGATATGATGAAATTATTTAATAGAAATTCTGGTTTTAACTGATATTGATATGTATTTTTAATTGTTTTAACATGGCGTAACTTATATGGAGAATAAATTACTAGTTAATAATACATCATTAACTGCAGTAAAAAATGCCAGTAAATAATGATTAAATTTAACGAATGCTTTAAACATTAACAAACTGATAATATGTAATTGTTACTGTCATGAAAAGACTAATTTAAAAATGTGTATCATTATCTTGAGGTAATGAGTCATTTAACAAAAAGCAGTTTAGAATTTAGCATCATATATATTTGATATAAAGTAAAATACAAAAATGTGTTTCATTATCAAAGAATAATATTCTATACACATTCCTTTTGAGATAATTATTTACAATGCAAAATGATTACAGTAGACCCCCTATAACATGGGTTCCTATAATTACGATTCCTATAAGACGGCGAAAAAATTGCGATGGTATCCGTACAAACCTGGTAAAAAAATCTTCTATAATTCAGTAAAACATCATCGAGCAGCCAAACTACTTTCCGCCATCCAGTGCCACGCTACGGAGAGTTTAGGCAGGTAAATTGAGTTTACTATCGTCTGTACAGTATTATATATAAATTAGGTACTGTACATATAATTATATATTAATTATATATAAATTAGGTACTGTATATATAATTATATATTAACTTAATTTATTGTAACTTTATTATAATTAAATATATATTTT